GCACCGCCTGCTGGGAGGGATCCGCGCCGCTCCGGTCGGCGGGGAGGGAAGAACGCGGGCTACCCTGCCGGGCTTGCTACAGACCTGGCACCAGCTGGGGCAGACAAAGCGCGCAGCCCACTCCCAGCTGGGCGCTCCCCTCCTCCGCGCCGCTGCCCCCTTCAGGGCGGCCGGGTCGGCGAACAAAACAAACAAACAAACAAAAAGCGGCCGTGCCGCCCCGTAGAATCTGCTGCCCCAAGCACGAGCTTGCTCGGCTGGTGCCTGGATGCATCTTGCCTTTCACTGCGGCGCGTAGCTACATCTACCCTACACGTCGAACCACATGTAGACAAGTTCACAGAGAAGCGCTTTATGCCATTCCTGTGAAAATCTCCCCAAATTTGGCCAAGTTATAAGCCTATGAAAAACTGCAGGTTGCATATGCTGCCAAGAGTCTTGAGATTTTAGCAGTTAAAGTTCCCAGAAATTCGGTCCATAATGGGCATGCTCTAGCCCAAGGCTGAGCAGGACTTACCCTGCAATTGCAGCTCTGGTCAGTGGTGAGCTATGCCAGAGAAGGGTCTGGGTCCAGGCACCTGGACTTTGAGCAGGGAGAGACTCTCTCTCCTGTGCTTTCAATGCCTCCTCTGCTTGGCCTTGGCAGCGTGGAGAAGGAATCTGCATGATTTGAACACAGAGGGGACAAGAGCCAGACCTGTTGGGGGGACCTTAGAGTGGCAGGGGTTGAGTAGGAATGGCAGGGGTTGAGAGAAGGAAACTTGGACTGAAAGTTGGGGTGTGGGGGAGACTGGGACTGGCTGGGCAAGGAGACTGGGACAAGGAACTAGGAGGAGGGAAACAGATAAGCTGAGGAGCCTGAGGAAGGATTTTGGGCCAGGGTGGGCATGACTGGAGACCATGGTGGGGAAGGGACACACTGGATGGGGACCTGGTGAGTGGAGACTGGATACAAGGGGGTGAATCAGGGTTATGTAGTAAAGGAGGCTGTTGTGTGTAAGCCCCTCAGCCTCATTTGTTGCAGACGTTAGAAGGTGTGTAGTGAATGAGGCAGGGAATTGCAGGAAGAGGAAGGACAGTTTCATGGCGAAGGCAGTTGAATGTGGCCCTGAAGAACTGGAGTCTAGTCCAGCCTCTGACAAAGAGTTCCTAGGGCATATTAAGCAAATCACTTCTCACAGATGGTCACTAATTGTGTGGGCTTTATTTTCTGGGTGACTGACCTGAGTCCCTGGGGTCTGATCTGTAGAAGTGCTGAGCAACTGAAGTCAATGAGAGCTGTGCTTTGAACATAAAAAATGTGCTACATAATGCTAAGTATTCTGAAAAACTGAGTCCCAGGTGTCTCAAATTTGGCATCCAAAATGAGTGGGAACTTCTGATTTTAATCTCCCTGTCCTTCAGTTCCCCGTCTGTAAAATGGGGATAAGAGTAACCCCTTCCCCCCCGCATCATCTCACAGGGGTGTTGTGAAAGTAAATTCATTGTTTGTGAAGCACTCAGATACTACAGCGATGAGTGGCATAGAAAAGCCCACGACACATGTAACACCTGTCATGTGGTGCTTAGAAATGAATGTGGTAAAGACCCTCTTAATGATGTCCCTAAAATGGTGGTGAAATCATTCTGCATTCCACACCCACACTGAAAAAAAGGGGGCTTGATCCAATTCTCTTGCCCCTTTTATATAAAAAGTGGCAGCAATAGGTGGCTGTAAGGCTTAACCAACATCTTTTCCATCATGTTCCCTGCCATACACAAAAAGCAGCTGTTAGAGTCAGAACCGTCTGCAACCCCATCCACCAGTGTCTCCCTGGCAGACACTGCTAAGTAAACCCCTTGTATTACTCACTGAAGTAGCCTATCACTTAGTAAAAGGGCATTTGGTAAAGGTCAAGCAATGACATACAGGGGAGATATTTTTCTGGTGGCTCAATTGCTTTACAGATGCTTCTAAAGCCATTTTATGAAAGTGTCTGTCTATAGGGTTTCAAACAATGGGAAGTGGTGGCATAATCAAGTTTGATGCATGCTTTTCAGGAAAACTAGCTTAAACTGTTTTAAAGAAGTCAATGTTCTCCAATACCGTTTTCTAAAATCCCAGCATATCATGTGGAACAACGCTTTTACTAAAGGGTCTTCAGGTAGGGCAGGAAAAAATGAAGCCCAGCTAACCAGTATGGCTAGAGAATTCTCTGGTTGGAGGCTGCTATTGAAAATCTATATGAGGCAATGCTTTATTATGAACTTCAGGGCACAATTACCTCTCCTTGCCAGACTTTTCATTGCCCAAATCCGGACATCTGAACTGCACCTGTAATCTTACATTCTTATCTTCTGCCAAGAATAAAGCACTGAAGATTTATTGCTTCGTAGGAAACAAACTCTTAAAACACATGGCTGTTTCATGCTGCATTTATGAACAGCAATGCTGCCTTGTCAAAATGCCCCAACTTCTTATAGATCTATAGGCACAAGACGGACAGCTGCTCAATCAGTGTGTATATATATCTCCTCAATATATGTTCCATTCTATATGCATCCGAAGAAGTGGGCTGTAGCCCACGAAAGCTTATGCTCTAATAAATTTGTTAGTCTCTAAGGTGCCACAAGTACTCCTGTTCTTTTTGCGGATACAGACTAACACGGCTGCTACTCTGAAACCAGTCTATTTTAAGTGTCAAATGAAATCAAGGAAATGATCCCAACTATCACATCTCTTATTTCCAACTAAAACATGATCATGTGAGATTTTTTTTTGCAGTTGTATATACTTATTTATTTTTGTAGTGCTATTTACTGTATGTAACTACACACAATGACCTCTACAGGCAACAGGGCTTTGTGAAAATGTCACCAACATTTACTAAAAAGCACCAACATGCCAGCTTCATGGTATCTTTCACGGTGTTCTAGGCTTACAGATATGACTAACTTCCATGTTCTCTTTCAAGCTCTGAGATGCAGGATCGAAAATAAACAGCATCTGAAACTTTGGCGGCCTTCAAATTGACAAAAACGATCCATGCCAGGTTTGTGTGTCAGATCCTGAGATCTTGCATGACTTGAATCTGCCGGGAGATTCCAGATGTTTAGTAACATGTGGAAGTGAAAAGAATGTGTGTTAGGGAGAGCAAGTGTGGTTGGTTGGTTTTCCCAAACTTGGTTTGACTGACCGATGTAATTTTGCTCAGTAGAAACTGTGGATAGGATTTGGGTGAGGGCAAGAGAGTTCAATAATAAGGTCTGATAAGAGCCACTTTCTAAGATAAATTTAAATAGAGCCCATAAAAATCCTTTTATAATAGAGCTCCAATGCGTATATTTGAAGCCATTAATACTTGCAGCAGAATATTTATCAGGAGAGATCTCATATTACTGAATCTCCCAAAATATGACTTATTCAAATATGCACACTCCATAGGGACAGAATGATGCATAGGGCTGATAAAGGGCTACAGAACCATGCACCTCAAAGGCAGCAGCTTTTTTTACTCTACAGAAGATTAGTGAACGCAAGAAGTTGCTCTCATTTACTTCCCATTACAATATTTTGTGTGTAGAATATCTGATACTACCATGCTGCTTGGTGGCCTATGTGAGATACGGCGTGGTCTTAGAAGTTGTGAGTGGGCATGTGTCCACATGACAAAAATCAACAGACTAATTAATACCTTGTTGGCAGTCTCAAGTAAGAGGCAGAGTACAGAATTGGCATGAAGGCTGAACTCCTTTCAGCCTCTATGGGTCATATCTTGGGAAAGATAAGGTGGATGAGGTAATATCTTTTATTGGACCAACTTCTATTGGTGACAGAGACAAGCTTTCAAACTCCACAGAGCTTGTAGAACTTAAAAGCTACTCTTCCACCAACAGAAGGTGGTCCAATAAAATATATTACCTCACCCACCTTGTCTCTCTCACGTGGGATCAACACAGCTACAGCAACCCTGCAAACGTATCTTCGGAAGTAAGGGTTGAAGTACTTGGGACAACATGGGAAGCTTGTGGTGCCATTGCCTGTCCCGTACCTAGTCTAAACTGAGGACTTTGCCTTCCAGGGCTGTCAATCTGACACCTTATCCACTAAATTCACTTAAATTTAAATGGAAAAAATACAGGACATTCTACTATTGCAGTATGGGACTGTCTAAATGGGACTCCTCCCCTTTCTCACAGTACAAGGTAGCAGGGATTATATTACATATGGATACTTATGAGACAGGAACTTGAACTTACATTTTCCTTAGGCTGGGCAGTTTCTTGAAGACTCCAGTAGCTTCTAGAACTGAGATATCATTGTCATTTAGACGGCTGGTGGGAACAAACAGAAAGGCACTTAATGCTTCATGGATCTCTGTAGATGTGTCTCTAAGATTGCTACACAGAAAATTATGACCTTTGTTAAACAAAAAGAAGGATCTCTTCTAAGGATCTAATTTCCTGCCAACCCTCTATCCACCACTTATTTGAGCTCCATACAACAGAAGGCGTTATAGACAAAAAAACATATAAAAGTAACTGTATAGAAAGTTCTGTGCAAATGAGAGGGAGTGGCTTGCAGAGCATTTTCTATATGGCCCCTTAGATCTGAAATTTGCTTCCCATGTTTGGGTCTAAAATAGCCCATGCCTGTTGATCCTCAGAAGTACTGCAAAGACCATTCATTAGCAAGGGCTATTAGGAAGGGCAGAGGACTTGGGTGGGAGGCTATATTGCCCTGATTGAATTTGTACCTGGTTAAATTTAGTTTAATTTTGTTGTGTGCATGCTTTACTACGTATGCACCAAAGGATTCAGATGTGGCTCAGCATCTTTTCTTTTCTTTGTATTAATTGGAAATAAATAAAATACCTTAAATACATGGAAAGATTTAAAGAGGACATAAGCACTATAAGAGGACCAAATCCTGAAGATACTATGTTATATCCAATATTGTCTTATACTCCATTAAATTGGATAATTTGCCTTTCATCTGGAAGGATCCCCAAAAGTAGAAAGCATACATAGAACATATTAGCTCTTTTATATACAGTCACTTCGCAGTTTAATGTGTGCAGACAGTTCTAAGGTGGAATGAATGAACTGTTTCACAGCCTTACACAAAGATTTAGGCCAAAGAAATACCCTTTTTTTTAAATTAGCAGCATTGCATTTTGAAAGGTCCAATAAACAAGCAGTAAAAAAAAAAAAAAGAGAGGAAAAATGTGCAAAGGATGTTCAGAATGTCAGCATTCACCATAACCACCTCTGGAGGGCGTGCCACTTACAGATCGGTAGCATATTCAGGAAGGTGACTCGGTAAGCGGGTGAGTTTTTGATTGGAACAGTCTACAATTGTTCCTTCGCAGCGACACTTTTCAGGACAGACAAGGTCCATGAAGCACTCCCCGGTGAACTTACTTCTGTAATCCTCTGAACCTGCAGGGAAATGGAAATGTATCCAGGTAAACAGCCTGACAATTAACAATCACAGAAATCAGAGATTGAAAGGAAACCCCTCAATTCCTTCTCCATCACCCCCATTCACCCTCCGCCCAAACTCCCCCAGCCAGTGCAGAGCTGCTCCCTACATTACATTCCAAGGTGTTTTGTCCAGCTCTTTTTTCAAATGACTTGAGAGGATGGGCTCCTGTCTCTTTCCTTCTTCCCTTGGGAGATTATTTCATAGTCTTATAGGCCTCCCTTTGAAAACATCTTTTTCTTAATCTTGTCTAATTATCCCTCTGGGGTCCATCCACAGGCCTGCACACATACAGCCTCGCTGCAGTCAGGTTTGCCCATGTGCTCTTCACTCTTGCATCAGGGTGCAATAATGATGTCAGCAAGAAAGATGGTGTGTTCAAGTGAAGGAGTCATTTTAAACAAGGGTGTTCAGAAAGGATTCTTTTACTAGCTATTAACCTAGCATAAGTGAGCCTGGTCAATTTTGCAACAATTAGATATCTTGACTAACTACATTAAACAAAAAGCAGTTGAAAATAACAGCAGTTTAAATCATGTTCATTTTAATCAAGGTAAGGACAGACTGTACTTAGAGAGAATCACTCTCCAACATGCTATTATATTGTAATTGCCAGACCTCTTTGACAAGGCTTTTGACCCATTCTAATGAAATGCTTTTCCAATTAGGTTCAATGAACTACTCAGTACTTTTCAGCTTTTTTTATTAATAATAAGGGGTTTGAAACTTGATCTCTATGCTTCTGGAGCCAAAAGTATTAATAAACGTGTATGTAAATCCAAGGGTTGCCAGGACAGATCTAGTCATGCAATACTTGCCTGCTCACTTCATATTTCATTATGGAACCACCAAAAACTTCTTTGGAAACATTTGTTATGCTCAAATGATCATAACAACCAAAACCATATTTTTAACTTGTCCAGGTCTCCCAAAAGCCAATTGTAATTGTAAAAGGTCTTTGTCACTGCCAAAAAACACTTAGTTGAAAAGCACTAATTCAAACAGGCAATACCTTTTTCAGAGTGATTTGAACAAGCTCGTTTTTAAAGAACTCTGAAAAAAATAATAAAAACTAAAACCCAAGCTGAAATATGCCTTCTGAGAGTTGATGTCATTTTTATTCTAGTTTCCCTGTTGAGGCTGATAAAAACACTACTACTTGTTCTATGATTGCTATCCGAAAGAAGAAGAAATGAATCATCCAATGGTACCATTATTTTATTAATTCCTGTTACATATCACCTTACCAGAGGAATCCAGTGAAATCTGGTAGCTCCAAAGTTCTAGCACTTTGATCATCAGACCAGCAGGTTAAAGTCCCATAGATAGACTTGCATTTAATTTATAACACAATGGTTAAAACTACAGTGCAGAAAGGAAAGCAGGTAACATGCTGCTTTGTATAGTACAGATACCAGGGTGATGAATGCTCTGCAAAAAGACAGGTCATCATTCTGTTGAGAAATTAAATTAATTTAAGGTCTGATCTGGCTATTGTTTTCAGCCTGAAGGCACTGGAAACAGATCTTGGAGATATTTAAAACTGAAAATGTTTGTGCTCAACACTTCCTTATTCATTTAAAATCACTTAAAATATTAGGCAGCAATATCCCATTGTATCTTTTAATGTGTTTTAAAAATACCTACTACAAAAATACTTAAATTCTATCATTTTCAGCAATAACAGCCAACTCTCTCCTGAAAGTCCCATAACTGGGGCACAAGTTAAAATGGTGACAGGTGAACACTACTGCATACGATGGACAGCACTCTACATCTGAGTCCATTAGAACTTCAGAATTGTTGTTACACCACCCACATTGAGCAGTTCCCAGGAATTAAGTAGTGATCAGAAACGGGTTTGAGAATATATCAAATTTAACCTCTGAAAAATTCACTTGTACCTTTCATTATAAATCCATTCCTTGAAAGAATAATTGTGAATGAAATAATGTGGTGGCGAGTAACTGTTTATTTAGGCATTCTGTCTACTTTGGACATATATCCAGTGTTCTGTGGGCAAATGAGAGATTGGTGATGGAGTGGAAAACCTAGGAAAAAAGGTAGAAAGGAGCATATATTTTTTGAGGGATGTAATATATTAATTTCTAGACATATTTTTCTCAACCTTCTTGGAAAAGCTAATAGAAAGAAATTTACCACATGACTTTGCAACTTCAAATTCCAATTCTCCCGCTGTGTACATCTCTCATACCTACGCTGCATCAACCATTAGAAACTCATCTAGCCAGGGCATCAGTTCACCACCTGCATGCTTGGAACAGGTGAAAACCCTTCAGAACTCAGCAGGAGTGAAAGGAAGCAAAGGGTTTAAAAAAAGATTTAAAGAAGAGTTATCTGTATAAGCATGGAGTCAAAGTGATAAATAACACACACATCCTCGTCAAGTAGTCAAAGTCATCCATTAGGCTGAAAGACAGCAGGAATCAGCTGCCAAAGATTAGATAAAATTTACTATTTGACTAGAGCCTTGAGATCACTTGGACAGGTGGCTGCTCTATTAAGTTATTCCCATCAGGGAAACTAATGTGAAATGCAGCCATCTGCTTGCAGAACTAGTTAAATGTGTATCCCCATCTCTACATGCAATATTTTATCAGCATATTACCTCAGAGGTTTAGGTGGATATGGTATGATTTAAAAAGCACAGTTAGAGATCATGTGCAAATACTACTTCCTCTATTCTAAAAATTAACCTTAGTGAACCATGGAGAAGAGCTACAGAAGAAGTGCAAAAGATTTTGTTTCAGACTAACCATTAACTCATATTTTTATACCATTTCAGTTGGAAGATATGTGAAGCTAGCCTGAATGTAAAACATGATATGAAACTTTAAGGTAATTTCCAGTATTGAAACATTACTTGAAACATTAATTGAAAAATTAAGTTGTCTCTAAACAGGAGTTGCCAAAGACAGAAATTGGGGAACTGCATTAAACTGAAGTGCCCGTTACTGTTATAGAATTTTTACCTAATAATATCAAAAGCACTGTTACAACAAACAGCTGATAAAGCAACAAAATGTCCTACGGCAGATACAGGTTTTTCCTATCTCACAAAAGGGTAAACTGCAACAAAGTTAAGCACAAAATTTTCGAGACTGTCCATTAAGTTGGAGTGCCTTTTTTCTGGTTCTCAAATTGAGAAATTAAAGTTCTATGGCCAAGGACTTTTTTTTTAAAGGAGTTCTTACTTAAATTCTGAAATACCAGACACCCAGCAGCTCCCAGTGCGTGCTCAGTACTTTTGGGAAATCAGGCCACATATAAGCACCTGGATGCCATTTTAAGCACTCATTTAGTTAAAATTTTGACATAGGTGTTTCAAACTGACCACCCAAAATTAGTGGACAAAACTGAAAATGTAGTTCTAAGTGCTTTAACAAAAGTCAGAGTGGCAGAGAACACAACAAAACAAAACCAGGAATCCTGACACCATTTCTTAAAACTAACCACTAGATAACACTATCTCCGGGTTTATTGGAAAAAATAGCCAGAGCCTGGTGATTCATTAATTCACAGCAACTCTTGTCAGGCCTGATGTATTCATTGCCCCAACTCACTGCTGTCATAATCTGTATCTAAAAGAAGTCATGGTATCATAAACAAGCTGGTAACACGTGGGTCAAGAAAATCATTGTGTGGGGTATGAACAATTGGCAAGCAATGCATAAGCTCAGCCTGCCCTAGACAAAGAAGTGTGTATTTGCTTGTCTGACCAGCCTGGTCGTCAGGCAGAGCCAATGAAGGTACTTTACATATAAGGTGAACAAAGCTAACAAGCAAGGGAGAAGACAGCATGGCGTCTGTACCTCAACAGGAGAAAGAAACTTTGCCTAGGCTTACTTTTCAAAGAATACGTTTCAAAGGTTTATTAGACTATAAAAAGGGGCGAGAACCCCATTGTCATCCTTCATCTAAGGAGACAAAGAAAACCAGGCGCTTTGGGCCCTGCGATTGGATCCTGGCTAAGGACTAGCCAGCCATGCTGGAAGAATTTCTATGGTGAGAAAATTTTGAACAAAATACTCAAGTTTCTTAAGTTGAGTTCCAGCCTCAATAGCTTATTTTCACATTTGTTTTTTTATAACCATTTTTATCCTTATTACTTCTACTTGGTATCACTTTATAAACTTGTTTTACTTACTGTGAATCAATTCAGTGCTGTGATTGAAGGGAAGATTGTGTTAAGCTAACAGGCTGCTGTGTACTGTCTCTTTAAAGGAACAGCAAACTTTTAATGTTTCATGAGTGTTCCAGCGTGAGGGACTGGGCACTACAGGGGAGATAGTTTTGAGGAAACTTGGGTCTGGAAGGGTTGCTGAATTCCCCTACAAAAAGTAACTGGGTGGTGGAAGCCAGGATGTGCCCTGAAAGCTTGTCTGCTGGCTGTTGGTGTTAGGGCTGTGAGGCACAGCAGCATAGCATATAAGACACCCAGAGTTGCAAGGCAGGTGTTCACGGAACTCCTTACTGGCCTGTCGGAACCCCAAAATGTTACAGCATCTCTCAATGTTATTTGATACTAGTGTTTTCAATCCTTACAAATAACTGCTTAGACAATTTAACAGCAGCAAAAATGTTTCTGACATTAGCACAATTTATCAGTAAAGCTTCTAAACAAGATATAGTGCTACTTTACTACTAAGCTTCCATGAGGCTCTCAAAGTACTTTATAAAAGGTAGACATCATTATCCCTATTTTACACAGAGGGAAACTTAGGCAGAGAGAAATTAAGTGACTTGCTCAAGGTCACAGTCAAGGATCAGATCAAGAAAAAAACTCTAGTATGCTCATTCGCAGTCTTCTGCTCTAACCATTAGAGAATATCACCCTCATGTTAGAAAATGTTTTCCGTTTCAGTAGACATACAGCTATGGAGACTATCCTGAAATGTTCTATCAAAGTACTTGCTTTCTAGTGTTAGTTCAGTCC